AGGTTTGCATTAAATGTAGTGCTGAATGTAAAAACTATTGTATCATCTTGCATCATCAGGTGACAGACATCCAGGCCAGAGGGGCCAGTTTGAGTTGGGTGGCCCCATCAAGGACCGAAGGTGACGATGAGCCCAAAGAGGGAGAAGAAGGCCCTGCGGAGCCCAGCTTCACGTATGAGGTCTCCGTCTCGTACAGTGGCAAGGATGGGAAGTACAAGAGCGCCTACAGGTGAGATCACGCTCCGTGTCCCGCTGCGGAGGAGGTGTGGGTGCAGTTGAGGAACTCGCTGTTGTTTTTTGTGGTTTGCTGTGGGTTTTCTAAAGTCAGTGATAGCTGAAGTTCAACAGCAGTTCACTTGACATGCAGCTCTTTTAAGTTCACAGTAGTAGATGAATACTGAAGAGTTGTTTTAATTGTTTACATTCTGCAAAAAATGTTACTAATATTTTCTTTCTTTTTGCTTGTGACAGTGGTGTGGAACTAAGTGCAACCTTACAAGACTTAAGACCAGCAACAGACTACCATGTCAGGTTTGTGTCTGTTTTGACTTTTAAATGCACAAGACATTATCAGAATTTGTTTTACACATTCTAGTTTTTATAGCATAGCTCCGTCAATAATAACACTCTTTTATGAATAAAATTGTTTATAAATATATAGATATATTAATAGGCTTGCCGCAGTAATCAGTGATAGCGCCTATTTAGCAATATTTCTATGTTTAATACAAGTGAGTTTGTCTTTGTTCTATTGTTGTGCTTTTCATTAAAAGTAATAATGAACAAGAAATTAAGCATTTGTTTTAAAGTAAGGGGGAAATCCAAAGATCTTTCATTTATTTGTGTTACAACACAGGTATATACTGTGCCCCTCACATGACTTGCGGAGAAAAAAATATATATATTTGCGGCAAAAAAAGAAATGTTTCTTTTGTGCCCTTTTATTTAATTAAATCATGGCCACGTTTTGTTTCCTAATTTTAATTAAACAGAAATGATGGAATGAATTAGTACAACATGACCACAATTTAATGAAATAAGGGAACAAATTAAGTCGCAGGAACAAATTCTTAATTCATGGCCACAATATATTTTTTCTACATGTTATGTACATAACTCTGTACATAACCCATCGTAATTTTGTTAATAAAAGTTATTTTTATATAAGTGTTTATATAAGTGAGTTTGTCATTGTACTGTTTTATTGTTATTTTGTTTTTCAATAAGAGTAATAATGAATCTATAATTTTCAAGCACTTGTTTTGTTCAAAAGGGAAAGATGTAAAGATTACATTGTCATCTACATTACATTTAGTTATTTAGCAGAAGCTTACAACATACAAATGAGGACAATAGAAGCAATCAAAATCAACAAAAGAGCAATGATATGCAAGTGCTACAACAAGTCTCAGTTAACTTAACGTAGTACACATAGCAAGGTTTTTTTATTATATAATAAATGTACGTATATAATAAAGAAAACCGATAGAATAGAAAAAGAATAGAGCAAGCTCTTAAACTTGCAGAACTAGATCTAGATCTAGAGGGCACATAAGTGAATGAATTTAGGTAAAGGGGTGCAGAGCCAGTGGTGGTTTTGTAGGCAACCATTAATGCCTTGAATTTTATGCGAGCAGCTATTGGTAGCCAGAGCAAATTGATAAACAGAGGTGTGACATGCATTCTTTTTGGCTCATTAAAGATTAATCTTGCTGCCACTTTCTGGATTAATTGTAAAGGTTTGATAGAACTGGCTGGAAGACCTGCCAAGAGAGCATTGCAATAGTCCAGCCTGGACAGAACAAGAGCTTGAACAAGGAGTTTTGAAGCATGTTCTGAAAGAAAGGGCCTAAACTTCTTGATGTTGAATAAAGCAAATCTGCAGAACCGGACAGTTTTAGCAATGTGGTCTGAGAAAGTCAGCTGATCATCAATCATAACTCCAAGGTTTTTGGCTGTTTTTGAAGGAGTTATGGTTGATGTGCCTAACTGGATGGTGAAATTGTGATGAAACGATGGGTTTGATGGAACCACAAGCAGTTCTGTCTTGGCAAGGTTAAATTAAACGTGATGGTCCTTCATCCAGCAAGAAATGTCTGTTAGACAAACTGAGATGCGAGCAGCTATCGTCGGATCATCAGGATGGAATAAGAGATCTTAAGTAAAGATCTTTTTTTTTTTTTATAATAATTTTTTTATAACAGTTTTATATGAACATAAAACAAATAAAATTCTCCCAAAATGTATACAAAAAATATACTATACACAAAAAAAACTAGAGACCCCCCCCATCTACCCCCCATGAACAGGCACCAGATACAATGAAAAATATACACCTTAAACAAAGACATACGTAATCAAACAAAACATTAAAGATGGAGTGAAGGAATAAAGCAGTGAAGCTATCCATTCAACTCTTAAAAAGATACCTAAGGAAGGGGCCCCAGATTTTATCAAATTTTTTTAGAAGCATCGATCTTGGAAAAAGCGAATCCTTTCGAGCTTGAGGGCGGCAACCATCTCCGCCAACCATTTGTGAAAACTGGGTGGTAAAGTGGACTTCCAATCCATCAAAATCACCCTTTTAGCTACCACCATACCAAACATAAGAGACAATTGCTGAGAATGTGTTAATGCTAATGTAGGGTCAGAACATCCAAGCAAAGCTAATTCAAGATCTGGACTGATGTCTTGTCCAAAAACATTTGAATACCACCGAAAGATATTCTTCCAAAACTCAGAAATCTCAAGACAAAACCAAAAAGAATGAGCATGCGTGCCATCTGAGCTCTTACATTAAGTAAAGATCTTAAGTAAAAGATCAAAATAAGCACAACAGATCCTGAGCGACATTGAACATTTTACAAGATAAGACATTTGTCAATGTATTAGGTAATATCGTTGTTGTCACAAGTTTATTAATTAGTGTGAAAATTTCCTCACCATGGTATCCTTGTATAATAATAATAATAATAACAATAATAATAAATGTAGTTATATTACAAAAATATTCAGTCTTTATAAATACAATTTCTAAGATCTAAAACTATTCCTTTCTTTACTGTTGGTAATTGTATTGTTTCTATATGCTAATACGTGTGTGTGTGTGTGTGTGTGTGTGTGTGTATTTAGGGTCCAGGCCATGTGTAACTGTTTACAAGGCATCCCTTCAGAGCCTGTGAGCTTCACCACTCTGAGCTGTGAGCCAGACAAGCCCAGCCCGCCACGCAAAGCCAGCGGCACCAAGAGCAGCCTTGTCCTGCAATGGAAGGTGTGTGCACACATTAACACACTGGCACATCAACTGTCCCACATAAATGTTATATCGCATATTTAAACTGACAAATTAAGTGCATAACAACAACAAAAATACATTTTTGTCTAGGCTCCATGTGACAACGGTTCCAAAATCCAAAACTATATCCTTCAGTGGGATGAGGTACGTTATTTTGTTATTGCTGTTTTGGGTTTTCATATTTCTCAAAAAGTAAAGAGGTGAGGTTTAAGCATGTACTGCTAATCCTGGCTGTGATCTGTGAACAGGGGAAGGGGAAGGATGCGTTTGAACAGTGCTACTACGGCCCTCAGAAGCAGTACAGGCTCACCAAACTCTCCACAGCTTCCAGATATTCTTTTCGGCTGGCAGCCAAAAATGACATGGGGGTGAGGTATGTATCAATGTATCAAAATGTTCCTAAATCCAGCTCCTAAAGAAATTGTAAAAGTGTTCAGATTTAACTTTTTTCTATACCTGCTGATGGCAGATATATTGAAAAAATTCCTGACCGTAAATTGAAATGTACCACTTTTTTTTTATAGTCGTACCTGGTCAAAAGTGCATTGTTGAGAGGAGAAAAACACAAATAAGTTGCGCTAGTGTACAAGTCGCATGATGCATGTTATGATTACAGTACATTCAGAAATAATGTAAAATATTGGTGAATGAAACGCTTACTAACATTATAAACAAAATAAACATGGTAGCATTTATTATAAATAACATTTAGGCTATTAAAAGGCCAAACCTATAAATGTATTTAAAGTAAAACTGAAACCGGTGTTGGGCTCACAGGCTTCTCTGATTTGTTTTCGTAGCCTAACATTTGGTTGCTATAAACTATTGTTTAGTATGTAAAGTCTTTATAATTTACTCGTGTCATAAAATCCACATAAAACAGCATTCTTCACATGCACATGTTTGAAAAAACACCACAGTCATGTTAGCAATACCGACATGTTGTGTGTGTGCATATTTATGTGCGTTTTAGCGTGTTTTACGCAGAACCTGATTTTACCAAGTGTGACATGTTCCTGGATCAACAGCTTTGTTGACCCTGGAACAACATTGTGATTAACCAATCAGATTTGAAGAACCAGTTTATAGTTTTTGTGACGTTTAGGCTTACAATCAGTGTTTGGGGCTTGTACATCAGTGGCATTCATCTATAATTTCCTCTGATTTTAGGGATTACTCGTGGTTAAAGTAAGGTTTAGGTGTAGGGATATGGTCAAGACTACATTTTTGGATTAAATTGTTGTTCCAGGGTCAACAAAATAGGTTGACCTAGGAACATATCTAACTCCGCAAAATCAGGACGTGCCGTGTTTTACATGCTTGAAATTAAAATCAGGATATATATTTTGGAATATAATTTGTGGCATGTTTCAGATGATAAAAAAGTGGCTTATGTCTGGAAAATAAAGTATATATACATACAGTATATATTTTGTCCTACGATCATTTACTCTTTCCGTAGTGAGTTCAGTGAAGGCGTCCACATCATGACATCATGCAGTGTGCCTGCGCCCCCCTTAAGCCCTGAGCTGATTCAGTCCGGGGTCACATGGCTCTGTGTGCGATGGCAAAGGCCAGCCGGCTCGCCCAAAGAAGACGAAATCAGCTATGTGCTGGAGATGGAAGAGGAGGGCTCAGTGAGTGAGAGACGCACACACACTTTCACAGAAATTCATCGAACACTTCTGACAAATAAATGACACATAAGGCCTGCTTACACCTGGTATGAACATCTCTCTCTGATTTTATAGTTAGTCAGAGAGATATGTTAGCCAGATCGGTTTGCAGAGTAAACATTAATTTGTCCTGATGCATCCTGGACTGAGCTTGAGAATGTTACATGTTATGTAAGAAGTGATTTATGCAGACATTAAGTGTGTAGTAAACCGTGATCTGTCTCATACTTGTGAATGTTAATTTGTGGTGTAAACTGGGCCATAAAGATTCCGTTTTCCATAAGTAGGCCAGGTTTTTAATGCGCGTTTACATGAATATGTCATGTGTGTTTACAGGGTTATGGGTTCCAGGCCAGTTATGATGGTGACGAGCTGTCACACACTGCCAGAAACCTCCACAGGAGCACCACGTACAGGTTCAGGGTGAGGACACACAAACACACACAGTGATGTATGTTTGCCACTTCTTGAGTGTGTCTCAGTTTCTTGATATCTTTTTGTTAGTTTAGTTAGTTTATTTTTATTTGTTTGTTTTTTTGTTTGAACATTCATTTATTTTCTTCCTTCTCTTTTCATTCTTTCTTTTATTTCAGTCTAATTTTTATTTGTTTTGCTTTTCCGTTTGTTCATTCTTTGTCAATTTATATAGCCATTTCTAATGTTATTTCCTTATCAATCTTGTTTTCTTTCGTACCTTTTCTTTCTTTTGTTTGTCAGTTCGTTTAGTTTTTTCTTGTTTTTTGCTCTCGTTGTTTCTTTCATTTGCTCTTGTTTTTTCTTGTGAGGTTTTGTCTTTATTTTGTTACTTATTTTATTTGATAGTTCTCTCTTTGTGCTTTTTAAATCTCTTTGTTTTTGTTGTTGTTGTTTTTTATGTTGTCATTCCTTTTGTCTCTTTCATTTATTTTTCTTCCCTTCTTTCATCTTTCATTTTAGTCTTTTCTTATTTTTGAATTTGCTTTTTCTTAATTTGTTCATTCTTTAGTTTCATTCATTCTTGTTTTGCCTTTCTGTTTGTTCATTCTTCGTCATTCCTTTTATTTAGTCTATATATATTGTCTTATTCTCTCTTTTTTGTTCTCTTTCTACCATTATCAGCTTTTTTTGTTTCTTTCTTTTTGTTTGTGCTTTTTTCCTTCCTTTTGGTTGTTAGTTTTTTTTTGTTTGTTGTTTAATTTGTTCTTGTTCTTTCTTTTGTTCATTTATTCCTTAGTTTTTTGTAAGTCCATTCTTTTTTTCCCTCTTTTTTTGGTTTTCTCTCCTCAACTCTTGTATCTCCTCACCCCTATCCCGGTCATGATTGAGACTCACCTGTTGCCAGCGGCTGTGAGATGAAACAGGTGGTGTAGTGATGCGATCGGTCACTGTTCTCTGGTGTTGTTGGGGTGGGTTGATCATAATCGTGTTTCCGAAAACAAAAGTGTATTAATGCGATCAGAACGGCTGCAAGTATCCTGATGAGAGGAGCTGATTACCTGCCGAGAGCTCGCATCCCCAATTACTGCCAATTACTATGACAGATGACATCACAACACCACTGTTTATTTCTGAACCGTGAGACGCTTCCTCATCCTGAGCTTTTATCAGGGGAAACTGTTTCTCAGTGAGATAAATTTGGTGGTGAATATAAAGGGTTTTGAAAGGCCCTAGAGATTTGCATTCCCTCTGCACCCAGTGTTTAGGTGAGTCATAATGAAGCTTATTTTTAGGACCATTCAGATTTTTTGCATTGTGACATTTTGAATTTCATTAATAAATGAAATGATTAATGAATAATAATTATTCATTAATATAATTATATTAGAATTATATAAGAATAATTATAGAATAATTTTTTATTTTTTTATAAATCATTGCAGGTTGTCGCCTATAATGCAGAAGGGAAAAGTAACCCCAGCGGTGTGTCTGAGTTCACCACGGCCCCTGACAGACCAGGCTGCCCCTGCAGACTCGCAGTGAAGGGAAAACCTCACCCGACCAGTTTCCGTCTGACCTGGGGTCAGTTCAGCATGTTAGAAACGCGTGGATATTGAACTTTGACTCAATACAACTCAAACTAATATAGAAATCACCTTTCATTTAGTCCTCATATACTTTGACTGTTTTTATGGCCCAGTCATGAAACTTCGTGAGCTACCTTTCTAAGAAATGTTTTTAGGAATTTATTCTTTGTGTGTACAGTTTTTCACAATAAGACATTTCCATCCAAGATGGAGTGAAATTTTGGTTAATTATATTAAAATTAGTGCTGTCAAATGATTAATCGCGATTAATCGCATCCAAAATAAAAGTTTTTGTTTACATAATATATATGTGTGTATTGTGTATATTTATTAAGTATATATAAATACACGCACATGCATGTACTGTATATATTTAAGAAAAATATGTTGTTTATATATTAAATATATTTATATATAATATAAATTATATGAATATAAATATATACATTTAAATACATGTAAATATTTACTAAATATATGCTGTATGCATGTTTATTTATATATACATAATAAATATACACAATGCACACACATATGTAAACAAAAACTTTTATATCGGATGCGATTAATCGCGATTAATCGTTTGACAGCACTAATTAAAATGTTAGAACAGAAATACACAACAAAATAATTAAAAACTAAAACTAAATTCAGAACAGAAAGTGTAAAAATAAAATCTAATTTCAAATATTATAACAGTATCTCAGTGATACTAAAATAACATTGGAACTGGCCGCAAATAGTAAGTGTTTGTTTTTTTTTGTTTGTTTGTTTTTTTTGTCACCTCAGAGCCTCCCAAAGACAGTGGCGGTTCAGATGTGACAAAGTATGTGGCGGAGCTGTCTGAAGGGTTAAGTGGTACGTTCCAATTCGGTTTTCTGGTGTGTCTACACATGCTCAATTTGATCCTGCCATTATGATTGTTCATTGATTGCTTGTGTGTGTGTTTCAGGTTCTTCTTGGAATCAGGTGTACAGCGGTTCGGCTATGGAGTGTGTTTGTGATGGTCTGAGCCCAGGATGTTCATACCAGGCTAGAGTCCACTGCTTCAGTGCGGGAGGCGAGAGCCCAGTATGTCACACAAAAATATGCAGTCCTTTATTGCTGTAGGGCCAAGTTAAACTTTTATTTTAAATATTGATGCTCATTTTGCTGTATACAAAATATTTGAAAAAAATAACCTCAAAATAAGTGTACTTTTTAAAAAAAAATATGCCAAAAGATCATTAAAACTATGATTTAAAATGTGAAAATTTGACATCATTACAAAGCACACATTTTAAAAGTGTATTTAAGTGCGTTAAGAAACAGTCATGAAATTGCACTTTCTTTAAATACACTTCAGTGGCCTTTTATTTCATTATAATTATATTTTCTACAAGTATAAGTGTAGTATTTGGATTTGAATTACACTATAAATGTAATTTCAATACATTAAAGCACACTTCTTTTTAACAAAGCGTATTCTTTACAGAACGCCTCAGATCATAGCCGGTCACAGTGCATCTTCAAGAATTCATGTTAGAAAAAGAGTTTCTGGATCATAAATGGGTGTTTTTTGTAAAACTACTAACAATCTTCACTATTCGCTCTTTGGTGGAAATGACATTTTAAGCTTTTTCAAACCAAAATGTCAGACTACTTTGTCTTGCTACATCTAATTTTATAGCCAACATTTTAAGTCATCTAAATACAATTAACATTTTTGCTTTTTTTGCATACATCTTTCGTGTAAATATTGTCCATCTCTATTGGACTGTCATCTTTTTTTTTTCCTTTGCTCCACAACTTGTTACCAATTCATCCACCTTCCTTTTATCGGTTTGTTTCCGCATTAATCGCTTCCATCATCTCCACGCCTTCAAAATCGCAACACGCTTTTATCAATGGAGCGCTTTTGGCAAGCGGCTGGTAATCATTTCTCTCTTCCGTCTTCTGATCCCAGCTGTAATGGCATTGTCGGGGCTTTGCAGATGCATATCTGCATGCGGGACTTGCCAGCGCGCAGCTATGACTCATTTTGGCGCTGGTTTTCACAGCCGTGAATGTGAGAGAATGCTCACATGGCTGTGGTCTGCTGTCACCGTTTCATCCGGTGCCTACACACTATTCTCATTGAGGAGGTGGAACGTGGTGTGCATGATTAAAGTGTATCAAGGTTTTGTCGTTTTTCTAATTTCTCATCCTTGTTGTTTTTAGTTGATGGAGCCCTTGCAGGTCCAAACACCACCTGTTCCTCCTGGTCCATGTCAGCCACCCAGAGTTGTAGGCAAACCCAAATCAAGAGAGGTGCAACTACGCTGGGGTAAGCTTTGCCTTTGTGTCTGTGCTTATTGCGTATAACAAATTAAGTGTTTCTTAAAATCATGCTGTGTTTAATATGTATTTAGGGTTAATTGGGGGTTGAGAGGTGTATATACACAATCTTTTAAAAGTTTGGGGTCATTCATTCAATATTATTATTAAATAACTGTTTTCCATTTTAATATATTTCAAAATGTAATTTATTCCTGTGATGGCAAAGCCATTGTAATATGCTGAATTTGCTACTCAATAATTTTTTTTAAAATTATTTTTAAAATCAAATGGTTGTGCTGCTCCTTGCAGGTCCAAACACCACCTGTTCCTCCTGGTCCATGTCAGCCACCCAGAGTTGTAGGCAAACCCAAATCAAGAGAGGTGCAACTACGCTGGGGTAAGCTTTGCCTTTGTGTCTGTGCTTATTGCGTATAACAAATTAAGTGTTTCTTAAAATCATGCTGTGTTTAATATGTATTTAGGGTTAATTGGGGGTTGAGAGGTGTATATACACATCTTTTAAAAGTTTGGGGTCATTCATTCAATATTATTATTAAATAACTGTTTTCCATTTTAATATATTTTAAAATGTAATTTATTCCTGTGATGGCAAAGCCATTGTAATATGCTGAATTTGCTACTCAATAATTTTTTTTTATATTATTTTTAAAATCAAATGGTTGTGCTGCTTTTTTATGTTTTTATGAAAACTGTTTTTATGAAAGAAGAAAAAATGAGGATCTTGCGCTTGGTTCCATTCACATGTAACACGATTGCAAGTCAATAATAGAATCCACCAGAGCAAAAAAACTCAATTCTTGAAATTCGTTTGCTATGTATCCAAATGAAAGGATTACATGCCGAGATACTAGCAATCTTCTTTATTCATAGAAAGTGCAAAAAAAGTGCTCAGTGCATATTAAAATCAACAAATGTTTCGGTCACGCAGGACCTTCCTCAGTGTTCACATTCTATTGAAACGGTTCATTTTTATATTCAATTCCTCACATATCAAAACACGTGTATCCAATCAATCAATGAATCAGTACAGACCAGTTACTTCATTGCCAATTGAGTAATCAGGTCATCTAAATTATTTAATTTTTCCAAGGCCAAATCCAGCCATTGTCTTTTATATCCTTGTGCTAAAAATTGATCATACAGTTTTCTTGACTCCGTATACTCTTATTCTCTTATTCTGTCTTATTCTTAAGAACTGACTATAGGGTAAACCCTGTTTTAATGGTCGCACATGGCTACTTGAAGCATGTAGCAAACTGTTTCTGTCCGTTGGTTTACAATATACCATTGTAGATAAGGTTTAATCCACTTTCAAAACTTTAGTATCAAGAAATGGAAGCTCTCTATCATTACATTCCATATTAAATGTAATCGAATCATAAAAGCCATTCATATATTCATAAAAAGATTGTAATTCCTCCTTTGAGCCCTTAAAAAGTATAAAAATGTCTTCGATATATCTCCGAAAAAATAAAAGTTTCTAGGAGAAGGGGTTGTTAAAAAACACAAACCTTCCTCCAAAAATCCTATCGTTAATATTGCTAAATCCGGTGCGAAACAACAACCCATTGCAATACAAGAACCCATTTATGATACCTGTGACACATTATTTATCATTCAATATAGTTATTTTTCAGAAAGTTTAAAAAGCAGCGTTTATTAATTTGTTTATTTTTTTATTTACCGTTACATTTGATTAATTGAATGTGTCCTTGCTGAATAAAAGTTTTTTTTATTATTATAGTTTTTTTTTTTAATCTGAATATTTTCTCTCGTCGCATCTGTTAGCGCCCCCTCTGGTGGATGGAGGTAGTGCAGTGTCTTCGTACAACGTGGAGATGTTCACTCCCCAGATGGACGAGGGCAGGGAAGTGTACCAGGGCTCTGAACTGGACTGCACAGTGGGAAGTTTACTGCCCGGCAGGACCTACGGCTTCCGGCTCAGAGCTGCCAACAAAGCTGGAGTGAGTGCAAGCCTTATAAATGTCACAGATGTTACTTGTTTTTATAGTTGCTAATAATCTGTTCTTTATAGAATGTGCCACATATAGTTTTGCTTAGGGCTACGCTGGGAGGCGCCGTGTGATCACGGATCAGAGATCACGTCGTACCTGATCGATCTGGGTGAAAGACAACCCATCCTTACTGGGCCCGTAACCAAATACATCATCCAGAACCTGCAGCCCGACACCACCTACAGGTACAATGACATCTTTGTTATAAAACAGTAGCAAAATAAACATACAGCGCAACCAGTGTTGTCCATTTCATGAATGTAGGACCTTATGAACCTTATAAATTGAACTCCACAACCATTCCAAAAGTTAACATGAATCTGAATGAATTAATGAATTGCATTGAATTTATTTAATACATGAGTTTCACAATTTGAGTTGAATTACTGAAATAAATGAACTTTTCCACGACATTCTAATTTATTGAGATGCACCTGTATATGAACGAAAATTGAATCTTGTGCTCGTGTGTTTGAAGGATAAGGATCCAGGCTCTAAATAGTCTGGGAGCAGGACCCTGTAGCCACACCTTTAAACTGAAGACCAAGCCACTGCCACCCCTCCCTCCACGTCTGGAGTGCACCGCTTCCAGTCACCAAACCCTCAGGCTCAAGTGGGGTGAAGGCCCAGCCAAGGCCCAACTCACCGATTCCCTACAGTACCATCTCCAAATGGAGGATAAAAGTGGGAGGTTAGTAGATGCACTGTTGGTGCTTTACAGTATATTTTAACACTGTATCCTGACCTGGCATGAGAGAAGTTTCAAGTAATTTTCTCTGAAAGCGAAATGCTAAGATTAGCCAAATATGCAGTCAGTGTTTTTTTTTTTATTATATATAAAAGAAATTCATTCTTTTTTTATTTGGCAAGGATGCATTAATTTGATCAGAAGTGACTTTTAAGTAAAGTCTTTTTTATGATATTATGAAAGATTTATATATATTTTGTAAATGTAGTTTTTTTTAACTTTCCGTTAATCAAAGAAAGCTGAATCTTGGTTTCCAGAAAAATATTAAGCAGCGCAACTGTTTTAAACATTTATAAAAACAATGAATGTTTCTTGAGCAGTATATTGGAATGATTTCTGAAGGATCATGTGACACTGAAGACTGGAGTAATGGCTGCTGAAAATTCAGCTTTGTAATTACTGGAATAAATTGCATTTTAAATATATTAAAACAGAAATGTTATGATTTTAAATTTGTAATAAAATTACTTATTTTTCGATCAAATAAATGCAGCCTTGGTGAGCAAAAGAGACTTTTTTCAAAAACATTTAATAAATCTTAGCAACCGCAAACTTTTGAAAGGTAGTATAGTACAAACATGCAATGGGCAAGGGATATATTCAGCTTTATAAATGATTCAAATTAGAGTTATTTTTACATTTATTTATTTGTTATTATTAATTCGTTCAAAACTTTTGTGTGGGTCTGCCTTTAAGTCTGTTATAGTTTTATAATATTGTGTATTTTCTGGCTTTATAGAGGTTAACTCTATAACATTTTCTCTGTCTATGTTTTTGTCTCTTCCTAAAGGTTTATATCCTTGTATAAAGGACCCTGTCACACTCACAAAGTGCAGAGGCTAAATGAGTCTACCTCGTACACGTTCTGCATCCAGGCCTTTAACGAGGCGGGCGAGGGGCCCTTCTCCACTGTTTACACCTTCACCACCCCCCGCTCCCCACCTGCACCCCTGAAAGGTACAACATCACAACTGCTGCAGCCATACACTTGCCCCATAGGCTTCCTCTGATTCAATTTGGTTAATTTACTGATTACAAAACTTAATTTTCACTCTTTTGAGTCACATGATCCTTCAGAAATAATTTTAATATGCTGATATGCTTCTGAAGAAACATTTCTTCTTATTAGTTTAAACATAGATGTGTTCAATAAAGCTTCACTTGTATTTTACACAGAATATTATGCCTGTCTTCTCATAAGGGAGCTAATTTATGTGGATAAATAACAATAATTGCACTGCTTTGTTTATTGGCATGTTACAGCCAGTGTTACATTTAATAATCAGTCTCCCACTCAAATTAATTATTTTAAATTGATGCACTTTGACAACAACACATAATTAATGTTCTGCGGTTTGACCTGAAATTTTTTTTGCCTGCAAGTTTGGTTTGTTCTCATCATCTCTACATCTGTCTGTGTCTGACTTCAGCTCCTCGTGTGGAGCGTGTGGACGAGTTGTGTGAGGTGAGCTGGGAGACACTGCCACCTATGAAGGGAGATCCAGCCATCTACTGTTTGCAAAGCATGCAGGGAAATTCTGAGTTCAAACAGGTATCTACACCGCACTATATCAACTGCATTTACGTGACTCCACCCAGTGCTTTCCTGTCTGCCCTCTACTGTCCTATCCAATAAAGGCGTTAAAAGCCCATAAATATAACTTTAAAAAAACTAGCCGGAAACTCACAGCACCTTGAAAAAAGTCCAAAAGGAGGTGTGTAGACTGAAAAATCCAAATGGCCAAAAATTCAAAAAGATGCCTACACAAGCAAATAAAGAATAAAAAAAACATTGATTATAAGACGAAAACCACTACTATAATGAAACGTTTCGGTCACATGTGACCCTTCGCAGTGCCTGGTTACAATACTTGGTGCAGGAGCCCTGTCCTTGTTACACGTTACATGTTCCTACCTCTGTAGAAGACTATATGTACAGTAAATTATGCATAATTATATGCAACTATCCCTAAACCAAACCCTAATCCTAACCCTGTAGTAAGTGTATGTAGTAAATTAATATTACTTAGTACTTAATTGTGTAACTATACTGTAACAATGTTACCTTAAACTAATGTGTAACCCAAACTTGTGGCACCATATTTAAAGCTGCAGTCCGTAACTTTTTTTGGTTAAAAATGATCCGAAATCAATATTTGAGCAAGTACATAACCAGCCAGTGTTCAAAACTATCGCCTTACTTTAGCCCGATTCACAACGGTCAGTTTATAATAATGTTTGTAGCCACACCTTTAAACTGAAGACCAAGCCACTGCCACCCCTCCCTCCACGTCTGGAGTGCACCGCTTCCAGTCACCAAACCCTCAGGCTCAAGTGGGGTGAAGGCCCAGCCAAGGCCCAACTCACCGATTCCCTACAGTACCATCTCCAAATGGAGGATAAAAGTGGGAGGTTAGTAGATGCACTGTTGGTGCTTTACAGTATATTTTAACACTGTATCCTGACCTGGCATGAGAGAAGTTTCAAGTAATTTTCTCTGAAAGCGAAATGCTAAGATTAGCCAAATATGCAGTCAGTGTTTTTTTTTTTATTATATATAAAAGAAATTCATTCTTTTTTTATTTGGCAAGGATGCATTAATTTGATCAGAAGTGACTTTTAAGTAAAGTCTTTTTTATGATATTATGAAAGATTTATATATATTTTGTAAATGTAGTTTTTTTTAACTTTCCGTTAATCAAAGAAAGCTGAATCTTGGTTTCCAGAAAAATATTAAGCAGCGCAACTGTTTTAAACATTTATAAAAACAATGAATGTTTCTTGAGCAGTATATTGGAATGATTTCTGAAGGATCATGTGACACTGAAGACTGGAGTAATGGCTGCTGAAAATTCAGCTTTGTAATTACTGGAATAAATTGCATTTTAAATATATTAAAACAGAAATGTTATGATTTTAAATTTGTAATAAAATTACTTATTTTTCGATCAAATAAATGCAGCCTTGGTGAGCAAAAGAGACTTTTTTCAAAAACATTTAATAAATCTTAGCAACCGCAAACTTTTGAAAGGTAGTATAGTACAAACATGCAATGGGCAAGGGATATATTCAGCTTTATAAATGATTCAAATTAGAGTTATTTTTACATTTATTTATTTGTTATTATTAATTCGTTCAAAACTTTTGTGTGGGTCTGCCTTTAAGTCTGTTATAGTTTTATAATATTGTGTATTTTCTGGCTTTATAGAGGTTAACTCTATAACATTTTCTCTGTCTATGTTTTTGTCTCTTCCTAAAGGTTTATATCCTTGTATAAAGGACCCTGTCACACTCACAAAGTGCAGAGGCTAAATGAGTCTACCTCGTACACGTTCTGCATCCAGGCCTTTAACGAGGCGGGCGAGGGGCCCTTCTCCACTGTTTACACCTTCACCACCCCCCGCTCCCCACCTGCACCCCTGAAAGGTACAACATCACAACTGCTGCAGCCATACACTTGCCCCATAGGCTTCCTCTGATTCAATTTGGTTAATTTACTGATTACAAAACTTAATTTTCACTCTTTTGAGTCACATGATCCTTCAGAAATAATTTTAATATGCTGATATGCTTCTGAAGAAACATTTCTTCTTATTAGTTTAAACATAGATGTGTTCAATAAAGCTTCACTTGTATTTTACACAGAATATTATGCCTGTCTTCTCATAAGGGAGCTAATTTATGTGGATAAATAACAATAATTGCACTGCTTTGTTTATTGGCATGTTACAGCCAGTGTTACATTTAATAATCAGTCTCCCACTCAAATTAATTATTTTAAATTGATGCACTTTGACAACAACACATAATTAATGTTCTGCGGTTTGACCTGAAATTTTTTTTGCCTGCAAGTTTGGTTTGTTCTCATCATCTCTACATCTGTCTGTGTCTGACTTCAGCTCCTCGTGTGGAGCGTGTGGACGAGTTGTGTGAGGTGAGCTGGGAGACACTGCCACCTATGAAGGGAGATCCAGCCATCTACTGTTTGCAAAGCATGCAGGGAAATTCTGAGTTCAAACAGGTATCTACACCGCACTATATCAACTGCATTTACGTGTTTCAGTAGAAATCAGCTCATCAAACACTTAAAAACCATCCATTTTAACCTCAATAAAGCATCTCAATTAAAATATTTCTATTCACTGTGAGGCAAAAGTGTCTCAAATGTAGGTTCGCACTTGTAAGCACATTACACAGAGGTCACGGCGCTCAGCAGACAGCAGGTGTTGAGTTCAGCAGTTTGGATGAATATTATTATAGCATAATGACGATATAGTGGTCATTACTTGAATGGCTTAGTGACAGATGTTGCACTTAATGTTATAGCTAAATCAAATCTATCTACTCACATTTGTGATGTGATTGTGCATGCTCTTTATTCTGACATCATGTTGTGACTATAGCTTTCATAACCGTTGTTTGGCAAGGACTCCATAAATGTTAAGAAGCAACAAAGTACAAAACAAAATAAGTAGTGATGGTGGTTAAAATGATAAACTCATTATATATTCATACCTTTGTTGTTCCAAACCCAATCCCGTCTTCTGAGCTCATATGATAGCTTAGCATGAGAAGTAGATCGTAAAATAACTCGAATAACTCAAATCTCAAGTGCACTGAATTTAAAACATTTAAACATGTTATGATTGATTGTGAAGTGCATTAGGACCTTTCGCGTTGCGAACATTTATGTCAAACTTCCCACAAACTTAGGTAACACTGTATTTTGCTGTGACGTGTTACTGTCCTTGTTAAATAGCCAGAAACTGTCGGCACCGATAACCTTATCGGTTATTTCCCCAACATATATAACGCAACTGTGCTCCTGGTGACCCGAGTTTGATTCCTGTCTCGAGGTCCTTTGCTAAATAAACATTACAAATAAAGGTTGTAAGTATTAGATGTGTGAAATATTGCAGCCTCAGGCTGCTCAGGAGGTTGGGAGACGCGGCTCTGGTGATGGTGCTCAGGAACTGCTGCCAAACCCCAACCAGCCACTGAGCCAAGAGCTGCCTGGATATATTGCAACTCTGCCTTCCGATTTGGCCGTTTCTGAGTGCACAGATCAGCCTCACAGGAAGAGGAAGTGGCAGAGCGGCAGCCAGGAGGATAAACGTCCGTCCACCTCATATAGAAGAGCAGCCAAACGCTCTCGCAGAGGTCAGAACAGACTGATATTAAATACCTTATGACTCCGTTATTAAAGGATTTGTCACTGAAAATGTTCTTCAGCTGAATTAAAGTAACATTCTGTTACAGGTTTAGCAGCATGTTTTCTGTTAAAGACATTTCTTGTGATCTTGTGTGATGCAGAAGTGTATGCGAAGGGCCCATTGCTGGGACGAGGCGGATTCGGCTCTGTATATGCTGGGACCCGCAGGTCTGATGGACTGCCAGTAAGACAGTTTCTTCCTTTCTTTATTCAAACAGCCTTTAGAAATGTTGATGTCAGAAATATCATCTGTGATAATTAGTCAGTGTGATTTACTGTGCTTCATCTGTCTACAGGTTGCCATCAAGTACGTCTCCAAAAGCAGCACACAAAAGAGACTGAAAGTTTGTCCTGCAGTAAGGTCAGGGTCGGCTGCTGCTGGAGGTGGCAATGATGACCCTGGTCAATTCAGCTCCTGCCTGCCCCAACGTCCTGCAGCTGTTGGAGTGGTTTGACCGTCCTGGACGCTACACCTTGATCCTGGAGCGTCCGGTTCCTTGCCAAGATCTCCAGAGTTTCTGTGAGGAGAACGGATGTCTGGATGAGAGTCTGGCCAAGAAAGTCCTGCTGCAGCTGTCTGATCACCGCATTGAAACACTGCGAGAGCCGCAGAGTCCTGCACCGGGACGTCAAACCAGAGAACCTGCCGATCTGCTAAAAGACTCGGCCTACAGATCCTTTGCAGGTTGGTCTGTGTTTGTTTGTGAACTTTTGACGATCAGCCAAAGGGAATCTGTTTGGACTGGAATCTTTTCAGACGATGTTTGTGATCTTGTTGGGTCTCTCAGGCACTCTTGAATACGCCCCTCCTGAGTGGTTTCGTAAAGCACCGCTATCATGCAGGACCGGCTAGTTTGGTCAGTGGGGGTGACGCTCTACAACATCCTGTGCGCTTGTTTCCCCTTCAGAGGCACATGGAGGGTCACCTACAAAAGCAGACTGCACTTCCCTAGAGAGCTGTCTACAGGCAAGAGATAGAAATCACATCCAGATCCAGGTGACGTGTGTTGTTGTGTTTCTGAAGACTGTGTTGTGTGTAACAGAGTGCCGTCAGCTGATCCGCTGGTGGCCCAGTTTAGATGACATTGAGTGCCACCCCTGGTTACACTGAACAGGTGGCCAGTGACACACACTTATCTGACTCACAGCAGTCATGGCTGGATTGTCTTGTTAGGATCAGTCTAGATAAATGCTTTTGATTATTTGTATAGGGTGAGCAGGAGTGACACAGGAAGTGCAGAGAACAGCTTCCTGATTACCTAGAGCGAGAGATCATGGACTAATGGCCGCCACACATTTAAGCGTTTTGATCCTCTGCTCCAGTCTGTGAGGAGCTCTGTGTAGATGCTGAAGGAGCTGAGCACTTAAGTTCTTAAGCTAAACCAACTATTAAACCCTTAAGTAAGTTTAAATGAAGACTGCTCAACCAATAAAAAAAACGTACCTACGCTCTCCTGGATATATTATATCAATTGTTTTGTTGAGTGCATTTAGCATTTTTAGTACTGACAACTTATTTTTTGGGTTATTTTAGTATGAGCAGTGGCTGGCATTTATTATTAGTCATTTTTTGTCATACATATGTGAATCTTTTAAGATAACATTAGGATACGAGTAAGCCATGACAATAGTAGCACATAAATGTATTCGACGTTAATGGAGCAATTATCCTTCTCTCCAAAATTAAGCTCAAAAAAACTGATTAATGCTACTATAAATGTACTCAACATAACAACATGAGTTAACATTTACTGAAATGTGCTGCAAATATACTCTCATATATTTATACATATTTATGGCTGGAAATTTTTCAGTGCTTTGTAAATAGTAGAAAAGCTTAGTAAAAACTTTACTTGCATTTTTACAACATTATGTTGTGAATCCTCAGGTAATCAAACATTTCTACACACACTTGTACCCAGAGCAGCCCAAACAAAGCTTAATGTAGTAGAAATATCCCCATCTAGTGGATCATAATTAAGCTTTATGAAAACAGAGCTCAATTAATTTGATAATTTGACATTAAACACAAATATACTAAAAAGTAGGAAAATAATGTTTGTGTTTTAAACATATTTACCAATAAATCTTTGGAGCGCTCAAAGTGTGAAACCTACCCTCTCCATTTCCCATTGAATCGCTGTTGGAAACCCTTAAAGGGGTCATATGATGCGATTTCAATTTTTCCTTTGTCTTTGGAGTGTTACAAGCTCTTGGTGCATAAAGAAGATCTGTAAAGTTGCAAAGACTAAAGTCTCAAATCCAAAGAGATATTCTTTATAAAAGTTAAGAGTCAACCACGCCTACCTAAAATGCTCGTTCTAACACGCCCCCACATGTCTACGTCACGATGTGAGAAGATTTGCATAACGCCGCCCAAATGTTCACGCAAAGATGCGCAACCGATGAGCTTTGTAAAAATCGACGCGTTTCAGAAAGGCGGGGCATAGAGGAGAAACAATAATGTACAGTATGTGGAAAATAATGTGTTTTTTGAACCTTAAACCACATAAACACATTTCATTACACCAAATACACAAACTAATGTTCTTTTTAGCAACATCATATGACCCCTTTAATATGAAATTTAAAGAGTATGACAATTATATTAGACTGTGCAGAAATTGAAATCTACACGCTAATACACACTATACTCATAGTCACCAATGCTGATGTTGTTAACATTAATCATTTGAGAATAAAGTATAACAATAATAATAATGTAATGCTTTTTTCCTCAGTTGCAGAGAACAAACGTGGGAGGCTTGTTACTTACTTGTTCAGATGGCAATATATGGTGAAAATTCTTATTTGGGTCATATTCCAAGACGTAGGCTAGAATCTGTGATTGCGAAGTACAGTAAATATCCACACCTGTGCGGTAACTGACTGCCACACATACTCCTCAAAACATTAGAGTCATCCGCGCTGGAGCCGAGCCGGAGCACAACCCACGCAAGCTAGATAATTCCGCTCACAGCTGCAATTCCAGGTTTTCAAACAGAGATGGCGACAAAGAGGCAAAACTTACGGACTGCAGCTTTAAATGCAGAATTTACAAAAACAGATGAGATTTGGTGACTTAATTTTTCTCACAATGTATAAAAACTCCTTGAACATTCTGCAGAAAAAAACACGCATATGGATTTAAAAAGACATGAGGAGTTAACTTTTAGTGTGAACTGTCATACTAATTAAAACATACTAATTAACTAACTAATGTACGTAACTGCTTTACACCTTTAAACGTGGGTGCTAAGGGGCCCCCTGGAGAGCCGGGTAAAAACATCACCCAGTTGTCTGTAGTTGCGGAGTTGAATTCCTAATAGTGATTGTCACTAAAAATATTATCACTGAACTGTATGTCAGGCGGGACCCGGCAGAACGTTTGATTTAACTTAAAACCACTCTACCGTGAGCACCTGAGCGGGCTGCCTCTGAGTGACTGTAGATATGAGGGAAATGGAAGGGTAAAGCAGTCTCACTTGCTCTGACTCATCACCCTCTGCTGAGAGACACTGTAGGAGACTGCAGGCATGATGGGTGGCTTGTGTGTTTGTGTTGATGCAGCCCACACACACGTGTGCGACTTCATATTCTCATGTTCTTCGGGCATATTATTTCTCTGCCTACACATCTGCATCCTTAAAATAGACTTCATCAGCTCTTTACTTTTTGTTATGAAAAAGAATGAAATTAATGTAATGCAGAATATTGTTCTGTATAAATTAAACTGATTACTGATCTATTCAAAAATGAGCAAATTTTAGGTCTTCTATTATAATTCACTACACTATTAAATTGATCCAATGACAGTATGACAGTGAAATAAAGACATTTACGCAGTTAAAAACTATTTTAAATAAATGCTGTCTTTTTTTGAATTTTCTATTCCTCAGACAATCGTTTAAAAAGGTTTCATGGTTTCCACAAAAATATTAAATGGCACAACTGTTTTCAACATTGATGATAAGAAATGTTTCTTAAGCACCAAATCAACATATTAGAAATATTTCTGAAGGATCATGTGACAATGAAGACTGGAGTGTAATGGCTGCTGAAAATTTCGCTTTGGATCACAAGACAGTATATTAAAATAGAAAACACTTCTTTTAAATTACAAAATTACTGTTTTCACTGTATTTATGATCAAATAAATGCAGCCTTTGTGAACATAGGAGTTCTTTCAAAAACAAAAAAAATAACAATTTTCCAAACAAGAGTGTAAATGTAAAAACATATATTCTTAAATACTACATAAAGTATTAGTTTAGCTTTTAATTAAATATTTAATGCTCGTCTTTAATTCTTTCAGATCTACAAGGGCTCAGCCACTTCCTACCAGCTCCCTAACCTGAGCTCATCCACGGAGTACCGATTTCGCGTCTGCGCCATCCGGCAGTGCCAGGACGCCCCCGAAATCATCGGGCCCTACAGCTCCACCGTCATCCTGCTCCCACCTCGCGTCGACAGCCCCGGGGTCTCCGGCACCACGGGATCCAAAGCAGCCGAGGCCCAGAAGCCAAAACGCAGCATGACGGACGAACAGTTTTCCTTCCTCATCATCGCCCTCTTGGCCGTGACATCCATCCTCATCGCGGTTGCCATCCAGTACTTCGTGATCGAATGAGCCTCGGCCCTGCGTTACATCATCAAAACGAGTTTGTTTGTTGATGTTTGTTTTTCTTTCTTTCTTTTTCGTTCCGGCACCAGCGTCGAGGAGCCGCGTGAAGGGAAGGATTGAGAAAAGGAAGTTGTAGAATCACTTCACCCAATCTATTGATCTATCTTTCCGCTGTCCCTTCTGAGCATGCTATCGAAAGAACGCCGTTCCCTCCGTGGGACTCGGAGGGCGATTTAATGAAGGATCAGCAGTGAAGCTTACCGCTCATCGCATACTCATCGTACCACTTCATTTATTTGTGTAGCTGTAGTCTTTGTTATTTAAACGTATAATTTCAATTGTAAACTGTTGAGTGTCAGTTTCGTTCAAAGCTAGCTCGGTGGTCACGCCGCTCACTGTTTCATACTCATCGTACCACTTCATTTATTTGTGTAGCTGTAGTCTTTATGTTATTTATACGTATAATTTCAATTGTAAACTGTTGAGTGTCAGTTTCGTTCAAAGCTAGCTCGGTGGTCACGCCGCTCACTGTTTTGCTATCTTGGGCCTGGGACTCGAGGGCCAGTGACTACGCCGTCGGCGAGGGGGTACAGGCGAGCAGAAGGCCCGCCGGGGGTCCCGAGCGAAGTCTACAGGTCTACGATTTAAAAAAGGGGAGGCGAGACCAATACCGCTCAAATTAGCGAACGTTGATTTAGCACTTTGCTCAGAACTTTTTTGATGTTCAGAATGTGTAAAGGATGCAAAAATAACTAGAGAAATGTTAGTATATTTTTGTACAGTATGATACGAGGACCTGAGATTCTGGCTTAGTACGGGGAGTAAGATTATGACTATGAATACCAAACTAACTCAGCTTAATAGTTATTTTTACTATCATGTACGTATACTGTAGCTTGTTTTTACAATCAAGCAGCTGCTTTGCTCCAAAATATTGTCGTTCAGCACAAACAATGTATGCTTCTCGGAAACCTTTCCTTCAGTCGTTACCTTTGCACCTTAGTGAGAAGAGAAAAAAACAAACTTATCGAATGCGTCTTGATTTTGTGATGCGTTTTATGGGACATGTTCTCCAGTTGTGCAAAAGCCCTCAATGTGTTTTGGCTGTTTTTAAAAATGTAGTACCACGAAATTTGTTCTTGAAATGGTTTATTCAGTCAATAATCATGATTTCCAAAAGTCATATTATTTTTCTTAATTTCTCTATTGTTATTATAATTTTTTTTGTTTTAGAAACCAAATTATCACATTGTGTTAACCTTTACTTTTAGCAATATTACTTTTTGATGTAATCT